TAACGACACAACAACTTCGGAAAATGTTCCATAATGTGCAGAAAACTTTTATAACATGTAAGTACAGAAACCATCACACATTGTGACATAAAGTGTATTGTGTCGCCGAGACGTTGGACGGATAATAACTACAAGTTTATTATAATCATTATTTTAAAGGCATATGAAAAAGACCATCCCGTGAAGAAATTTCACTCGGGGGCAGATTATGATAAGTTGTTTCAGCCAGAAGTGTACCTCAATAGCCTCTATCGTGACGTCATCGAGGGAGGGAAGACAGCCACGGACATTACCGAAATTATAGACTACTTACACAAAATCTACAGTACAGGTACCAGTAACTTAACACTTCTCGTAAAAATAAGCATTAGATAAACTGTGGAAAGGGCAATCATTAAATTCACTAAAAACGTGTGAAGGGCCCTGTATAATATTGTTCCCCCCTTTTTTTTTTAATCTTGACCTGGAGTTAAATGTAAAGCGAGCGTGGATTTACAGTTATGTACATAAAGCACTTCTACTTATTTCTCTTACAACCAAAATAAAGTCAACATACCAAGAGGTTAGCCAAATTAACCTGTCGTTCCGACCCCCCCCCTCCTCCGAAAAAATTCCTTTATAACTGTTCCTATCTGAAATTTTGGGCGTATTGTCCAGTGAGAAAGGGTGACTTGCTCACACTCACTCAAACTCGCGTAAATTAGATTTTTTTTTTTTTACAATTTCAGGAAACATCAAGGGGCAGAGACTCTTGGACGTTGGCACTGGACCTTCTCTTGTCAACCTGATTAGTGCTTCTAGATGTTTTGAAGAAATTTATCTCTCAGATTTCTCCACCGCTAACAGGGATGCTCTGGAAAAATGGTGGAAAAAAGAGGAGAGTGAAGCTTGGAGCTGGGAATATTTCTTTCGTTATGTGGCAAAGTTAGAGGGAAACGAGTATGTAGATCTTTTTCGACTCGCAAAACCATATGCATGAAGTTACCTTGCAGAGAAGTGTAAAGGATTTGTTTTGTTATTTGGTTCTTTAGGGGACAGCAGAATGAACTTCTTGGGTGGACCCCTTTAAACATGTTTGAACGTCACGTGTGTCTGTGCAAATATGTCAACGTCATTAAATAGCTTCGTTAAGTGGTTATGAGAGAAAAACTTCACATAGAAAATTAAGGACAGGTGACTTAACTTTTCTTTTCTCTTGTATTAGCAGGTGTGTCGAAAAGTAAAATTTGGGATTCGCCAGTAGGCATGTCAAAGCATTCCATGGCATTTCATGATTTACCAATTTTCACTACCCCATGAATGTGTATATGTGTGTATGCGTGTGTGTTGATTTCTGATTAAAACTAGTACCCAAGGAAAAGTTTGAAGAAGTAAAAGGTATAAGATTAGATTGGAAAACCAATTTTAAAACAACCAAACTACGATGTACTTACCTCGCTTTTGCAGTAGAACGATACACTGTTTTATTTTGTTCACCTATCGTTGTTATGTGTCTGTATTTAAAAGTAAAGAAATAAGGTTTTGGTTTGTATTACTTCAGAGATGGGTGGGATTCACTGCAAGATGAATTCCGAAGAAAATTAAAAGACATCTATTTCTGCGACGTGAACAACCGAAACCCATTGAGCCCTTTGGAAACGGATCCCTTTGATACCATAACGAGCGGCTTCTGCCTGGAGTATGCGTGTTTGAGTGAGAGTACATATCGACAGGCAATGAAAAATGTGACGTCATTACTGAAGTCAGGCGGTTATTTCATAATGCATGGAGGCATCAATGAATCTTTCTATCAAGTGGGGACAGACAGGTGGGGTGGTCTGGCCATGCAAGAGAACCAGTTTAGAGAAGCGATGACAGAAGCTGGTTTGGAGATCAGGTCCTGGTACCAGATCAAGCGCCCAGATTGTTATCCAGATTCCGAGTCCGATTACGAAGGCTGCTTCATTGTCGTTGCAGTAAAAAATCCCTTAGCAAAATGAAAAGGTTTGCAGCAATATTACATCATTATCATCAAAAGTTTCCCGCAACGAGTTTGCGATAAAAATTTATTACTGCTAATTTGCATCCATATTGCAGCAAATTTGCAAGTAGGAATTGTAGTTTGCAGCAATATTGCAGCAAATTTGCTGAAAATTCGCTGCAAATTTGCACCAGGCCTGATATTTCGCTGAGGAGCACGAATATTAACAGCAAATTAATGCAACTTCGGAACGACTTCACCAACTTGTTAAATGCACTTGAACTTATGTAAAAACTAGAGTTAAAACTTTTTCTATGTTGCGTAAGCAGAACAGGAAAAGAAACTCTTATCATTGAACTAAAAGCCAATATTGCCAGTAGGCTTGGGTTTTCTGAGGTGCCAGGAGAATTGATGTTTTCCGCTTTACATTTTGAAGCGTATTATCGAATAAAGCATAATTTTTTCTTTCAATTATTGGGTGAATAATGCAAATGTCATCTCTTTTATGGTAATGTACATCTGGAATTATAAGGAAATACATGTAACTTTTGAATGGGAAACGAGTTTAGAGCCTTTGGGAGACAAAAACAAGAGGGGAACTAAGAGCTTGACACATGGTTTCAAGGATATCATATGTGTCTAAATTATGTTTGCTCATCCAAGGTGCTGCCACCAGCCATCACAACGAATCTGTACACCATTCTTTACCTCAGTTTATCACAAACAGGGATCGATTTTGATAAGCTCTTATTGATAAAAAACATATATGATAAAAGATATATGACAAAAGATAGCATTACACAGCCAATGTCGGAGAACAAGCCACCAAACAAGAAAGAGACTTATAATGAGGTTCGAAACACACGAAGACCATCAAGTTGAAATAGACGCACCTTTAAGATGTAGGAAATAAAGAATTAAAAATTAAGAGAAAATGGGCATTATGCTCCTAAGCAAAAATAGGAATTGTTTTAAAACAAAGATGACCTCCCAACTCCTCTAAAGCCACCCTGTCCACTCCACGTTTCTATTGACTTGTATGTACTTGTAGTAATAGCGTTGAATGACTGATGTTCAAGTTCTGTGACGTCATACACCGCTTGTCGTTTCGTCATAAATTCAGAAAGCTTTGATGAATTGACGGGTTCGCTGAAGCGTATGTCAGGATATTAAGATGGCCCGTATCAGAACTGAATGCTAGCTGGCAATGAGAGTAAGTAAGATTAAACCATGTATTCAGTATTTAAAGAATAAACAAAGGAAGACAGATATCCAAGGCGATCCACTTACACGTAAGTAGCCTGCATCAGTGAAGACGTACAACTGATCGTTGAAACTGTTGGTCGCTCAGCCAAGTCTGTATCGTGTGCGCCAGCCTTTCAGACCTGAGGGTGTGACGTCACGACTGACCACCCTACTGTCCACTTGGACAGGTCACTGGTGGACTGGGCCAGGAGTGACCCGGTGTACCACCCCCACTGTGAACAGGTCAGCCGTATTGAGCGTGAAGGCCAAATTGGTGAGTAGGCCTCAGATTGCAGGCGAGGGAATACTCTTCATGGAGGGACCCATTGGTGTACGTTTGGAATATATAAATTCAGTACGTTCTGTTCTTTACAAAAATCATTATACATATTAATTAAGGAAAACATTTTGCAAAGAGGCATGTGTTGCTTTATTCTGTAGATTTATGAAGAATTTATCATACTCTATTGCTTTCTTATTGAATATATATACTTTTCAAACTGTACAATTTTCCCGGGACGTGCTGGTGAATAAGTCGCAATAAACAGCTTATATGTGTACATGTACCTTGAATAAAATCTGTAACACCACTATTCAATAATAGTGTGAAGAAAGTACCTATTAAGTATAGAAAACGCAATATTTTTACTTGTAATTGAAAGTATCGCCGAGGCGTCGGATAGATAATAGCTGCAATTTTATTATATTTTAAAGGTACATGAAAAATACCATCCCGTGAAGAAATTTCACTCGGGGGCAGATTATGATAAGCTGTTTGATCCAGAGGTGTACCTCAATAGCCTGTACAGTGACTTCATCGAGGGAGCACCAACAGCTACAGAGACCACTGAAGTTATAGACTACTTCCACAAACTCTACAGTACAGGTATTCTAACTTCCTTTATAAAACATGAACATTTATTAACTACCTGGACGGGACAGTCTTACAAAAATTTGTATTGCAAAAATCGACTGAAGAGTTTTAGATGGTTCTTAATGTCAACACGCTATTTTCTGGGGGGGGGGGGCAAGGGGGGGGGCCGGAGAGAGGTGCCATGAATACTCCCCACCGCCTTTGTTTTACTACGAGTGTTTGACTCGACCTCCTGCAGAATGGACTTGACCGATGTTATTTCAATAGAAATGGTATTTTTTTTGTTTGCAGGGAACATCAAGGGGCAGAGACTGCTGGACGTTGGAACAGGACCTTCTCTTATCAACCTGATAAGTGCTTCTAGATGCTTTGAAGAAATTTATCTCTCAGATTTCTCCACCGCTAACCGGAATGCCCTGAAACAATGGTGGAACAAAGAAGAGAATGACAAATGGAGCTGGGAGTCATTCTTCCGTCATGTGGCAAAGTTAGAGGGAAACGAGTATGTAGATAATCTCATCGTCTTCGACTCGCCGAACTATATTTCAACTACACAAATTACCTTTTGTTGAACTGTAAATGTAGTTGCGTTATTCGGTTTTTAATGGAAAACAGAATGAACTTTATGGGCTGGCAAATATGCTAAAAGATATATTTGACAATTGGCCAGTGGAGATGTCAAAGAAGATCATGCTTTTTTAATGATCAACACCATCAGCCAGCGTGCGCGTGTTTTACATACAGTACCACTCGAAAATTTCTGTTTCAAATGATTATCCGACTCAAAAGAGGGTTGATTTAGAAGAGAGATAGTGTTTTACTTTTTTAATTCTTATTGTCACGTATTTGCAATTCCAAAAAGGATAGTAATAACGCTTTAATTTTTTTCCAGAGACGAGTGGAAGTCACTGCAAGATGAATTCCGGAGTAGACTAAAAGACATCTATTTCTGCGACGTGAACAACCCAAACCCACTGAGCCCTTTGGAGACGGAACCCTTTGATACCATTACCAGTGGCTATTGCTTGGAGTTTGCGTGTTTGAGTGAGCGTTCATATCGACAGGCAATGAAAAATATGACGTCATTACTGAAGCCAGGCGGTAATTTCATAATGCATGGAGGCATCAATGAATCTTTCTATCAAGTGGGGACAGACAGGTGGGGAGGGCTGGCCATGCACGAGAACCAGTTTAGAGACGCAATGACAGAAGCTGGATTGGAAATCAAGTCCTGGTACCAGATAAAGCGTCCAGAAAATATTTCAGACTGCGAGTCCGATTACGAGGGCTGCTTCATTGTCGTTGCGATGAAAAATAGCGATTGTTAACAGCGATGCAGAACGAACTGTACATATCATACAAACTCCTGCTCACAGTTATATTTCATGTCACGTGACATAGGATACCTGGTGTCGCGCAGGAACCATGAACGTTATGTCTCATTCTTGATATTAATTCATTTTCATTATTGTGCGCATTACAGAAAATGCTTATCTAATAATATATAAAATAACTAATAAAACTTGAATCAGCAAAAGTTCAATTATACAAATACACAGTCTACTGCAAAATTAATTGTGCAAAAACTTCACTTCTCGAAAAATTTACATTAAGTTTGACAACTAAAAATGAAAAGTACCTTTCCCATATAGAGCCAATATTGTCACACAGTCGCGGTTTAAGTTTCATCTTTTCTTTTCGTCTTTTCTTTTCTTTTCAAATTCTTAATTCATTCCTGCTAAAAAAAAGTTCTATTAGATAAAAACAGCAGAGGGATGATTTAAGTTGCAAAATGTGAAAAAAGAAAAATAAACAATAACCTCCTTATTGTTTTATTTTCTTAAAAATTTTAAGCCCCCTTTTGTTGTAAAAAAGGTCCATGACATGACGACGGAATTGTGATGTTGACCAATCAGTGAGAAGAACGGAAAACGACGTCGACTAGCACTTTGTGACGTCAGCGTACTGTGACGTAGGCAGTATTGTATCTTTAACCAATCAGTGAATTGAACGGGTGCGTAGCAACCCGATAGTCTCAGAATTGCGGCAATTTGCGAATTGGTGAGTTGCACACATCGATTGAGATTTTTATATTCGAAAAAATGGAGATCAAGACAAAATGGAGTTATTTGATTCGAGTGTACCGAATTTAAACGTGTTGAATGCGTGTACCTATCATGTTTATCTTGAGACGAAAAAAAAAAAAAAAATAAAATAAAAACTTGTAAAGAAAAACTACTGAATCCCTCTAAATGTAAACATGCCAACTACGTCTTTATCGTTTATCCTAGATACGCAATTCTTCTTCTGCAAATATTTCGACGACTCAGTACGTATATAGTACGTTTATTGCTTTCTTTCTAGATTTCATATCGAGATAAATTGCATAACAGAGTTCTAATAATGTTTGATGAATGCGGAAAATTTACGTTAGAAGTAGAGAGGGGAGGTGAGTGATAAATTTGTGGGCCCACACGTTACACGTATTCTTTACTAGACTTGTTCACAATGACAGTGCTTTTTCTTCGAAATTTTGTCAAAGACATTTTAAAGACTCCTAAAGATTGAACTGTATAAGACGTATAAATTCCTTACAATTTTTTCATTACTTGACGCATATATTGATCAAATAGTCTAACAGCATTTTAAGAAAACACCAAGTACATATCCATTCACACCCTATTTTTTTTGATCTAGGGTATAATCACGGTGTTGAGGCTGAAAAGGCGTGTCCTCTTGACCGTCCAAACCACGCCTTTGCCCGCGTGATTGAAATGACATCTGGTACTGCGTGTGCCGGGATGTTTTGGGTCCCTATGATTGGCAGGCCCGTTGGGTGGCGCTTGGAGGATCTGCCCGGTCCTGAGGTCGCCACCAAGGTCCTTTTCCTCAACAAACTACCCACGATTGAGGAGGACCCTCTAATATGGCCAGGTAGATAGAGAATACAACTTCAGCACAGTCACAGCCTTTTTTTTCTATTTCTTTTAATCCAGTTATCTTTGTTAGTGCTCTTATTTTTTTAGACCTTAAGTCATCGTAAGTCCAGAAATTGGAAAAATATATCTAATTTACCTTGGACATAGATGAGAACAAACGAACAGTAATCATTACATTTTTTTTTTTTTTATTATTTTAGACGAATACGCTTGTGAAGAAAACATTCCGAGCGTCAACATAAAAAAAGGCAAGAAATCATTTTTGAAAAGAGTCAAGGCTAGAATATTGAAAGCACTGCCAAGATGCCTTAAGCAGGTAAGGATTTAAAATATGTCATGATCCTAGTAAATATTGAAATATCGATTGTAATTTTAAGATATATGAAAAAGTGAAATGTTTTTTGCTTTCACACTTCACTTTTGTCATATTCATAAATAAGAGATTTTGTGCATCCTCATCAATTACACATTCAATTATATTATTTATTTGAACAATATTTTTATATACAATATCATGCTTCTTTATATTTACAGTGTTTTACCAGCAATTAAAACACGAACTCAGACCAACACGAATGAGCAGTCAGTCATCCAAGACCACGTCCATCTTAAAGACTGACGTCACCATGGTGCAGCCATTTCCACGCACTTAAATTACATGTTTGGACAGTGTAGCAGCAGTCTGTCATAGCCCGGATGTGGGATGACACAACAGCTCCATGCAGTGCAATATCTATAGATGTGTTGATGAGGGGAGAGTGCAATAACTGATGTCGCTGTTGAGTCCGAAATGAGTGAACAAGTGCCAAGTCTAGAGCAAGCGATTGACTGTGGTGTGGAAAAGTGACACCTTCATCAGCTCTTTGTTACAAACTATAATCAGTTGTGCTAATTATTTTGTGATTCCGTTCAGCCGTGCTGGCGGTTGTATATAGCTTACAAAAGCTTATATATTTACAAAAGAAAAATAATAAAATAAAAGTAAAATGATAATAATGATAATAAACAACAGCAAATTCTTAAATTCATGCCAATGCCTGATTGTGTATATTGTAAATTGTAAATATATTTTATATAGCATTTGTCTTGTTCTTTTGTTATACATCTTACAAAGCACTAACATCATGTAATAAGATGTGAACACAATTTTTTAAAAACTGTTTCATAATATATTATAATTATATTTTCACAATTTTAATTTTAAAAGAAAAAATTAACTGTTTTAAAAAACATTCTTTATCTGAATCAACACACCTAGAAAACTAAGAGCGAATTGTTTTTCAGAAAGTGCCTCTCACAGCACGTTTTCTTGTAAAAAAAAATTTTAAAAGATGCTGTTTCAAATGTTGATGCAAGTGGTCTCTCAAAGCTAAATGCAACGGTGAAATTGATTGTGTTAGTTGAGACTAGACAGATTAACCAATCGCAATGTAATCAACAGTCCGCCATTGCGGTAAGTTTAGCTGCGGAGTGAAATGAGCAAGTGGGAAGATTTGAGAAAATGCGTTGTCCGCACAGCGAAAAGGTCTGTATAATTATAACCTAAAATATTGTCAGAGCTTAAAGCTCATTAAATATATGCAGCTAGAAACTAAGGCGAATTACTGTAAACCTATCTGCCGAAGAACTTGAGTAATTACAGAGAAGCACTGTTCTGAATGGAAGTATTTGAAATCCCAAATACCTCGTTGTTCTGAACCTGTGTACTTTTACGGAAAAGATGATAAACACAAAGCTCAATGTTCAACTTTAAAGAACTTTTAAGCACCCACTCTTCAACCCCGTGAAACTCTATCAGTGTGCCGCTGTTAAATAGGTTACGTACCTATACTCCCCCACTTCTTTACATCCCCGCACCGATACTCCCCCGCACCGATACTCCCTCGTACCGATACCCCCCCGCTTCTTTACATCCCCGCACCGATACTCCCCCGCACTGATACTCCCGCGTACCGATACTCCGCAAAAACACTACCCCCCCAAGGCATAGATTCCCTTGGCTTTGTAAACCCTATTCGTAATTTACAACACTTTCTATAATGCTTTTTTTTTCAAGATGCACCACCCTCTTGGGACCCAGAATTGACTAATTTTATTCGAAATATATTGGGAAAAAATAAAGAACGTTACACGAAGACAATCTCAGAGTTAGTGTGCAGCTTGATAGTACGTAGGTCTACAGCTCTTCCTTGTGATTTTTGAGAAATGTTTTTGCAAAATTAATTTCGTTCACCAACTGTACTCAGTAGTTACTGTATATATATTGTACGGCCTTTTATTTATCTATTTATTTATTTATTATTTTTTTTATTAACTTAAGGCAAAGTTAGTTTTAATCTAAGATAACGCAGCTATGTCTTTTTTTTTCAGGCAACCATGAATTCGTAAAATTATTAAGTAATAAAAAAGAAGTGCTAAAGTGCTTTGTTTTCTGTCTTTTTCCTCCAACCTTCTTTTCTGCTCTTTAAGCTTCTTTCCCTTGTCTTTTGAATCTGAATTAGATTAGAATCTGNTTTATTTTTTTATTAACTTAAGGCAAAGTTAGTTTTAATCTAAGATAACGCAGCTATGTCCTTTTTTTCAGGCAACGATATATTTGTAAAATTATTAAGTAGTAAAAAAGAAGTACTTAAGCACTTCGTTTTCTGTCTTTTTCCTCCAACCTTCTTTTCTGCTCTTTAAGCTTCTTTCCCTTGTCTTTTGAATCTGAATTAGATTAGAATCTGAATTGAGCAAAATTCAAAATTTTTGAAAATTGTTGCACAACGAAATTGTCGAGACACGAGCATGCGTCATCACATGAGCACGCCTTTTATACTCGCTGTCCCGTCGTGTTTTCGACTTTGTTCGTTATAGATGTGAGGGGGTGCGCCGTACTCAACACGCAAAGGGCTCTTACATAATATGGGCGGCGGTTTATACAAAAATTCAAAACACGTTTAGTCGTCGTCGTTATCAGATCAGTCGAATTGAAAACACGATTAGTCGTCGTCGTTATCAGATCAGTCGAATTGAAAACACGAGTAGTCGTCGTCGTTACACGAGTAGTCGTCGTCGTTATCAGATCAGTCGAATTGAAAACACGATTAGTCGTCGTTATCAGATCAGTCGAATTGAAAACACGATTAGTCGTCGTTATCAGATCAGTCGAATTGAAAACACAATTAGTCGTCGTCGTTACACGAGTAGTCGTCGTCATTATCAGATCAGACGGCAAAATACGACTAGTAGACGTCAAAACGCAACTTGTAGAAGCCAAAACTTGATTTGACGCTAGATGGCGCTCATGTCAATGGTCTTGGCTACCCTTGTGCCGACTTCACAGTCAATACCGCGAAAATCTGACACTGACAATTAAGTGCTTAATTTGTGATTGACATATTGAGGAGAGTTGACAGATGTTGTACTATAGTAGGCTAGTATGTGATAGATACAATACGAGTCGCAGAGCTGTACGTGAAATAAATACAGGGGTACGAGTGTATTGTCATGATGGGGTCATGGTTCCGGTTCCGGTCGTGGGAGAGGCTCATGAACGAGGTCCTCTACATTTTCTTCTTTATTGAAAGGATTCTACCTTGACAGCTTAGTAGCATGAGGTATGATGAAAATTATAGTTACGCCCGCATACCATGGTAAAGAAAAACAACAAAAGGAAAAACAAAGAAAAGAATTTCAGTGGAGAAAGCGTCAACAAGATGCAAGTGACAACGAATCACTCGACGCCAATACCATGTGTGAGCTCAACAATGAGCCAAGCACCACAGCCACAAGGGTTTTTGCAGTTTTCTCCCCAGGGACAATTCCCGGGATATGTTTCACCAGTGCCCCAACCAGGAGACTTGTATGGATTGATTGGAAATCTTACTAGAAAGGTTGACGAGGTAAATGCACGACTGGAAAAGCTAGACGTAATAGACCGCCGGCTGACTTACATGGAGAATGCGATGGAGACCATGAAAAACGAGATGAAAGGCAGGGGCGGATCCAGAGCTATATACTGACAGTCTTCCAAATTATCTTTGTTGATTCATCCTCCAATTTTGACCGTCTTCCAACATTAAAAATTGGATACCCGTCAATGTAAACTTGAAAATCTGACCGTCTTCTGGAAGACCCAGAAGACGGCCTAAATCCGCCCCTGAAAGGTATGAAAGATAAGGTCGGGGAAATTGAAGATGGACTCAGTGCTTTAAACACAATATCAGAAACCAACCGAATTGAACTGAAAGAGATGCAGAAAAATATGAAAATGCTTGAAAAGGACGAGGCAAAAACTACAAAAGTTATCGACGCAGTACAAGATAACCTTACACACTTGAAAANTGCGATGGAGACCATGAAAAACGAGATGAAAGGCAGGGGCGGATCCAGAGCTATATACTGACAGTCTTCCAAATTATCTTTGTTGATTCATCCTCCAATTTTGACCGTCTTCCAACATTAAAAATTGGATACCCGTCAATGTAAACTTGAAAATCTGACCGTCTTCTGGAAGACCCAGAAGACGGCCTAAATCCGCCCCTGAAAGGTATGAAAGATAAGGTCGGGGAAATTGAAGATGGACTCAGTGCTTTGAACACAATATCAGAAACCAACCGAATTGAACTGAAAGAGATGCAGAAAAATATGAAAATGCTTGAAAAGGACGAGGCAAAAACTACAAAAGTTATCGACGCAGTACAAGATAACCTTACACACTTGAAAAACGAAATCGTAACACTGAAGGAAAAACAAGTAGACCTACAGGCCCGAAGCATGCGCGATAACCTTATTTTCACGGGGATTGATGAAACAGACAAGGAAGACACAGAAACCATACTTGTCGATTTTCTGGAAAATAAAATGAAGGTGGAACACATGCCAGCTTTCCATAGAGTACACAGAATGGGGAAAAAGACACCAGGTAAACCACGACCAATTATAGCTAAATTTGCCAACTCTAAAGTAAGAGACAACATTAAGAAAAGAGCGGTGACACTCAAAGGTATAGAAAACAATAAATATGGGATAAATGAACAATACCCCCGTGAAATTAACGAGAAAAGAAAGATGCTCTATCCCTTTTATAAGTCAGCAAAGAGACAACAAAAGAAAGCGGTAATGGTTTATGATAAACTGTATATCAACAACGTGCTATTTGTGCCCGACTCTGAACAACCGGCGAAACGAACCCAGGAAACCCCACGCTCCACACCGGGATCGGTATATGGAACNGGAGTATCGGTGCGGGGGAGTATCGGGATGACCCCGTTAAATACCCCCTGCCACTTTGCGATATTTTTATTATATTTGGGTGAGGGGGGAGGGGTCAAAGTGATTTCCAAATTTGCCAAAAAAAAAAAAAAAAAAAAAAAAAAAAAAAAGGTGAAAATGAATTGTAATATCAGACTCGATTTTCCTTTTAAAAAAAAGTGAGAAATGACAATTCCTCATTTTTCTGTTTTTACTTTGATGTACTAAAAATGAAAGTAGAACCGTCTTGGGCATACTGTACATGTATCTCTGTTTTCTGTTACAACTTCTAATGCCATTAAGTTAATGTGAAATCTTGCATTCAGTGGGATCTATGGAGAGTTGGGTTGATCTTTGTAGAACAAGTATCATTTGGAATAAACCTTTAGTTGTCAGCATGTGAAATTAACTATTTACTGTATGTGTTTTTTTTTTCTATGTTCTTTCCCAATTCAAGGCCACATTTCCTCTCAACACAAAGGTAAAAAATTGGGGGAATACTCAGAATATATGTCTTGGAATTGCATCAGCAATGTAAGAAAAAAAGATACCAGAGTCTGGCTGCCTTCTGTATGGAAATAGCAACCACTGGCTAAACAGTCTTGTCTAGCAAGTACAAAATAAAAAACGGCCTCTTTCATATTCTTTTAGAGCAGGTAATGTTTACAAAGAAAACTATCACACTCTCCCAGTGGATCCTGGCTTAAAATCCCAGCACAGATGCTGTTTTCCTATTTCAGCAGCATACTAAGAGCTTCAGCGAGACAAGATAAATAAAATCCCGAGCAGCCGAGCAGCTGTTCATGATTAAGTTGGGGAAAAAAGAAGTAACTGTTGATCTGGCTTTTACTTTTTTTCTGTGTGAAAATAATGAGCACAAAAGCTCTGCTGTGCCTGTTATGACATGCTTACACATTTTACCTACAAGCTAAATGTGTTTCATGCAACATTTTTTACATAAAACATTTACAAATGAGTAAAGTGGCATTTTATGATTATAATACTTCTCATGGAGCCATAATTACATGTAGATATGAAAGAGAGAGACAGAGAGAGATGTGCACTAAGCTAACATCATCTCAATCATAGTGAGATTTAATTGATGGATACTTCCCATGAAAATTGGTTCTCTTGAATCATTTAGGAACAAAAATGGCATTTATAACAATTTATTTGGAATCGCATATGACCTGTCACATGCCCCCCCCCCCCCACTCTTCCCCCACCCCCCTCTATCCCCACCCCCTCTCCTCTCACTCCTAAAGCATGCATTCAGCAAACTGATCTGGTTAATAATTGCTTCAAGATTTCTCCACACTGAAAACAGTATACTATTGGTTTACAAGCAGTTCCAGTTGGGTTTGACCTCGGCCAATAGGAAAGGAGATAGGCTTGGATTAGTCAGTGCAACCTGACACTCACAAACTCTGTAGTAGTTTTACATGTGGCTTGCTAACAAGAAGAGAGAGAGAAAGGAGAGAGAGATAGACAGGTCCCATAGTTACACTGTGTTTTATAGGTTATTTAACAAGCTTGGTTTAAGTGTACACAAGATAGTTGTGTGTAGTTCTGTTGATTATTACAACCTTAAACAATGCACCGAGACTGAAACATCAACAGCGCTGCAAACTTTTCACTTAATGTGTGGATAAGTTCACCTAATCTAATCACTGTTTCTTTGTATTTTATCAACAGGCTGAAAAACTCTCAAGGAACCTGGGGCATTTACTCGGTTAGTTTGAGCAAGAGAAGTGCCTAGAGGAGCGCTAGTAGGAGAAAACAAAGGTCAGGAGGCAGAGGCAGAGAGGGAAATTCTGCGCAGGCCAGTTGTGTTGGCTATTTAGGAGAGTGAGTTATTACTGGGAACTGGCGCACATATTAACTAACCTTGGATGGGAGTAGTTTCTTAAGCCTGTTAACCAGTGGACAAGTTAAGGCTCAGAGGTGGACTTACCTAAATTGGTGAAGTTGGAATTGTGCACCCTGCAATAGAGAGGGAAGTTGGTGCCAGATTGCTGGTTGTTAGAGGAGGTAGGTTCACATTGTGATTTCTGAGTTTCAGGGTAAAGAGGGTTTTCTCTGTCTACTCCATGTACTATACACTTGTGGACAGTCTGAGATGGGTCTATAGTCTGGCAAGCCAAAGCATCCAAGGACCCGACGTTACCATTTCCAGTGCTACTTTGCCAGAGTTTGCCTGTTAGATTTTGGTAACTATGCCTAATTAAGCCCATGTAAGCCCATGGAATGGATTGCACGAAGTTTATTTTTGCTGACTCTAAAAGCAAACTCAGGCAGGTATTAATTCCTTTAATAGAACATTCAGATTATTAATTTTCAGGTTATTTTATCAGATGCTGATTTTTATTTCTGTGTATTGTTATTATAGCCCAATAAGTAATATATGGAAAAGTTAGATGTATTTGCATGCAAAATGTATATGGTACATTTTCTCCATCACATGCATTCAAGATGATGATCATTTTGGCAAAGAAAATAGATCTTAATCATTAAATCCTTTTAAATCTAATTCCATTTGACATTGTCTATAAAGCCTCCAGTTTATGTAACCATTTCACCATTACCCATTTCCTTTTCATCAGACATTTATATACACAGACTAGTAGGGAGTGCAATATGGTTTTACCTGTTTAGCCTGCTAGGTTACATTTCCCCTAACGAACATAAACAAATACTGTGTTATTAGAACCGTAACATCAAAATCTATCCATATGTGATATAAGGTTTTCAAGGTACTAATCCTGCCTTGCCCACCTTTACTGTGAGATGGTATCTAGACTGGGTTCTTAGTTCAGCGGATGTAGTAAGGGATGTGTGTGTGTGTGTATGTGTGGAAACATTTACACGATACTGCTGGGTATAACAGGGCGGTGACTCCAGCGTCCCAGCGATATGAAAAGGACTGCTTTTAGTTAACAGGACCGAATGTATTAGTTGTCTGTATCGAATCAACAGTGAGCAAAGTCCAATGGAAAAAAATGAAAGAAAAGGAGAAAAAAAGCAGCCATTTTTTTCTCATGGCCTTATGAGGGAGTTTTCACTTCCTCTAATTGATACTTAAAGACATCCTGCTTCCGCTGAATTGGCCTTACAAGTTGTATTATCTTTCAACATGATTTTAAATGATGGGAGAATACATCATAACAGTGCCATATTATACCCCTATACATGCAGGCTAAGATGATTTCAAGAAATGTCACTTCACATGTACGGCACTAGTTGTTTTTAGCTACTCCTCCTAGTTTGAAAGGTCTCTTTGATTGATTCTAAAAATGGATTTTAGAAAATAAGAAAAAGGGGCGTAGTAAACATATGGATCTGTTTTAACACTTAACAGAGCATAAAGCTCTAGTTAATATTGATTGGCTGGCAAATGCTTTCAGTTGTGGACTTATACTAAGATAATTTATATTTAATCCAAAATTTAAAGTTATTTTTCGTAAATGTTTAAAACTTAGTCAGAAACTTCACAAATTTGACAAGAAGTTCCATCCTAGAAATGTGCTGAAAGGTGCCAACCGAAGCCCAAAATGTCCAACAAGCACCTTGTAAGCTCTCTCTCAAAATGAGGTAAAAACAGAAATCGCGCTTTGGTGTATAGACTCCATAAAGAAACTGAAAACCATGAAATCTCTCACCAAGATAGCATAATCTACAGCAACCTTAATTTCTTGCTGAGCCACGATCTTTTCTCTTTTTCGATCTCTATGGCATCGCTGTGAACTATCATCATCAATAGAGAACAGGCAGTGGTAAATATCTGATTCTGCTCCACCCAGACATACTTAGAATATTCCTGGTGTTGATGTAATATTAACCTGCTGTGGAATCCATAACCTGACTTTAATGGCAGTAAACCGGGGTGCAGACCAGTTCTTGGATAATGCTCTTGATATATATAAAATGGGTGAAATGAAGAAATAGAAACAGAAAATATCATTTCTTTGTGATCTGGTACCAAAAGTAAAACCACCAAATTGCCAGATATACAGAGATGATATCATTCCGATTATCAGCCTATTTCCGACTTTTGGGTAGCTAAAAATACCGTTTGCCCAGGTGACCCCCTGGACCCCATGCCATATTTTCTGACTTTTTCATTGAATGGCAGTCTCATCCCTAGATGTAGCATGAATCACGGGTACCCTGAGTCCCAGACTAAATATACAGGACATCATGTTGATACGCGGGGTGATGGTGGGGATCAGACTTGAAATTCCACTGAAAATATCACACCCAGACTAAATACACAGCAGGCACACATGCCACGGTGTTGATGTTAACCTCTTTTCTGACACTAGCTACACCTTGAGTTTGTATTGCTTATAAGCATAATGCTGCATTTGCTGGGTTACAGGGATTTCCATACTCTTGGTTAGCTGAGGGCAGATTTATATTTAGGGTGTTTATTTTATGATCACATTTCTACTGAATACCATTCATATAGGGTGTATTTTTGTTCTGATTATTCCTGAGGATGTTCCAACTATTTCTAGTGCTAACTACACCCCACCCTGATCAAAATGATATATATGAATGATATTAGATCACTTTTTCAAAAAATTTTTTGAAATTGAGGAATTTGAAGAAATATGGTTATTTCCGAAATTGTAGAAGTTATAGAAAATGCATTTGGAGTTTGTCCTCCCCGTTGCATTCTTTATTTATAAATAGAGTTTTAGTTGCTAGGCCCCTGCAGGGACGATACAAGTGGATGCGGGGAGACCATCAGGGGATTAGCGGCATCACTTTAAGTAGATCGGCCATATTTAGTCTGCGGATCAGTTAGTCCTTGGATCAACTTGTTCTGATTGCGCTCCAAGGTTAATCTAGCTCGGCTCTTTTCTTAAGTGGGTTCCAGATCATCCTTGGAGAAAATAAAAGCATAAACCACCACGTCAGAACAGAGTACAAAGATTGTTACTTCTCTGAGTCACCTCACATGTTGTGACTCAATAAAAAGCGAATGATTATCACAAAATTAAAATTGCCCGTGAAAGGCGAAGCACTGCACCCATTAAATCATGACTTAATGATGATGTAATGTGGGATGGGTTGACAGCTAATTTGACAGCAGCAGGGCGGGATGTATTTTACACTCTTTGTGCTGATCTTTATCAGTTATTACTGACATCACACAGCTCCCAGGGGGAATAGGACCACATGAGGAGTATGCAAAGACTAAGGAAAGTTTGGAGCCAGAATGAATTTATCTGTAGATAAGTTTGTGGTGAAAAAGTACTTGCACATGTAGCCCTTTGCCAGTTTCAGGTACAAGACATTCATTACGACTGCTTGAAATATAGAATGCTGTATTCCAGAAAAAAATTGAAAAAATAAATAAAAAACAAGACAAAACTGATATTTACAATTTCATTAATTTTAAGCTGAGGCCTTGGAAGCCATCAGAGATTTCACATTCAAATAAAAATGGTAGAATACATGTTAATAAAATTATAAATTTAGATGACAGTGGTACTAGATTGTTGCAAATGATGTCTAATACATCGTATTCCTTGTTTTTGCCCTAACCTTGACCCTAGAATATAGCCAGGTAATTTCCTTGAAAATGATATAGACAACCAAATGATAGATGAACATTCCTCAACTGTGCCATCAGTGCATAGTTTCTGCAAGAATTACTCTCTGGCATAGCTTGTCTTCTGATATGCACTGTTGCAGATGTTATAAATGTTGCCACAAAGATGCCTGGAGGTTTTCTTTTGGTTTTGGGTAATTGAAAATGATCCTTTGCTTAGTCATGGGATTCATAGTCATATATATTTGATCTATAACAAGCGTGGTAGAGGAGGAGACAGCTTTACTAGTTTTTGTTCGTTTATGTCTGCCATTTACATGTAAATATCAAGTGGTAAATTGTTCATTATGATCGTTTTCTTTATGCATAATGATGAGTCATGAGTGAAGACTTGTTAAAGAATGTTAGATGCTGTACCTGTTGAAGAAGAAAATCAATAGATCAAAAATGATGGAGCGTTTGGGAGAGTGTCAAATCCCCGTGTAAAGCTAAGTCAGACTTGGTGTAAACTTTCCTGCTGATCTTTCAACTGTGTATACAGTCAGCCGCACATGATGTCATTGTTTATGTCTTAGGTTGTCGGAAGTTATTAATTAAAGCTCTTGATTTCAACAGAAAACCTTTTTACCTTGCCTGACACAACACACTTAAATGAAATTGTTCCAGTCTCCAGCATAGGGTCTTATTACTGTTGAACAGGGAGGTGTATTGTCTATCTCCTCAGTCCTGGCTCTGGTTGTCAGAATTGGTGTGGTTGTGCTCTCTCCTCAACTCTCAAGATCCATTCAGACCAATTATAAGTTAAGGCTGTTTTAGGTCCAAAACTGCATAAATTATCAGATAGACAGACAGAAATGGCTTGTCACAACAGTATCCTACAGTAGAATAGCCATTTGTGATCTCTGACGAGTGCCTTTGGTGAGGTATTTTAGACCTGAAATGTTGTTTTACACCCCATTTCCATAGATTAGATCGACCTAACTCCCTGGGGGTTCACGCTAAATAGCTGTCAGCCAGGCGGACACGAAAGTTAATTACCCCCTTACAGCTTGTAGTAGGCGGGACGGACATTTAAGTCGGATTATCTGAAAGTAATCTAGTGAGACTCCCCGCGGGGATAGATCGATCTAAAACCTATGGGAATAGAGCCTTAGTCTGTTAATCTGATTGCATTCAGCGAGAGTCTCCATGAGGCTCGTTAGCTCGTATAGTTTTTGCGCATAAGCTGGGTTGGAAAAATTCATTCTGAATGGGTCCTCCCCCCAAAAAAACGAAAAAGCTTTAAGAACTCCTGATGGGCACTTGGCAGGAAGTCAAGAACCAATCTTGTGGTAGGCAGCTGGTTGTACCAAGTGTTCTGGATTAGTTTTTGAATTACTCAGTGGTCGTTTTCAATCAGATAAAGCCATGTGACATGTGTCTGAGAAATTTGGTAAGGGTGGATTACAGGGAAAATTGAGAAGCAAGATCA